TCAACTTTTTTCCCCAGACTGCTGGCCTAATGAATGTTTAGGATTTTACCATCTTATTCATTTAACAAATGTATATTAATGTCTGCCCTGTGCCAGGCATTGTTCTAAGAGATTGGGGACACAGCAGTGAACAAAAGCCAAGTTCCTGCTTTCATGGAACTTGTATTCTTTCTTTGGGATAGGGAGGAGAAGTAGACAAACAAAAAACAAGGAAATACCTGTTCTTTCTGGTGGTGATATATACCAAGAAGAAAAATGGAGCAGGGTAAGGGGACAGAGGTGCTGTTTTAGAGGTGGAGGGAACAGTGCTACTTTATGGTGGTCAGGAAGACCTCTGCTAGGCATTTCAGTAGAGGTCTGGAGACTGAGCTGAGGAGGTCTATGGGAAAAGGCCATTCGGACCAAAGGACTATGTTTTTGAGGAATGGCAGAGGGTCTGGTGTGACTGGACAGGGATGAGTGAAGGTCAGTGAGGGGCCAGATCACGCAGGCCCCTGGAAGCCACGCAGAAAAGTATGTGTTTTCTAAGGGAGATGAGATACCATGGAAGGGTTTTGAGCAGAGGAGTGTCTTTCAAGGATTATTATAGTTTCTGTGTGGAGGACAAGGGCAAAGAAGGGAGACCAGCTGAGCAGTCACCATAGGCTGAGACAGTGACTGGGACGTGGTTGGAGCAGTGGAAATGGTTACAAGTGGTTGCACTTTGCCTGTGTTCCTGACGGCAGAAGAATTTGGTGATGGAATGTGGGTTGTGACAAAAAGAAGCCAAAAGTGATTTCACGGTTTTGGGCCTGAACAGCTAGAAGAAAGTTGCCCTCTGAAGTGCAGGTTTCAGAGGGAACGTTGGAAGTTTGGTTTTGGACATGTTAAATTTGACATGCCTGTTAGCCAGATGGGAATAGCAGAATGTTGAGTAATGAATCTGAAGTTTTCTCATTATTTTCAGCTCCATTCAATAGAGGTAAGAATGTGACAAGGCTGTGGCTGACGGCCTGCCGTGAAAGTGGAGCCCCTGTTTCCTGACCCAGCTGGGAAGACCTTTTTTCAGATGACAGAAGACTTACCTTGTGCACCGCAGCAAAACCTGCAAGCATCCCAGTTTGGGAGCAGCCAGCCTCCTTTCACAGAGCAGGTTTCTGTTTCTGTAACTGGTAAACAACCTAAGCATTCAGAGTTACCCAGCAGAACTACCTCAGGCAGTGCGGAGCATGCTCACCCCTGCTGGCGTTTCAGCAGTACATGACCAGGTGGCATTTCGGAAGAAACATTTTCAGATGGCACATCCTCAGAAAGGGAGTGGTAACTAAAACGGGAGATAATAACCTCACCAAGGGAGGTGGTGGAAGGTCAAGGCCAGGTAAGGGACTAGGTTTCGGGTAATACTGTCAATGCACACCATTGAAAAAGGCTACAAGGATTGATGATGTCATCAGTGACTTTACAGAGTGGTTTAATGGAGGGCTGGAGGCAGAAGCCAGCTGTCTGGTCTTAAGGAGGCTGGGGATAGAAAGGAACTGAGGCAGGCCGGGCGCGGTGGCTCAAGCCTGTAATCCCAGCACTTTGGGAGGCCGAGACGGGCGGATCACAAGGTCAGGAGATCGAGACCATCCTGGCTAACATGGTGAAACCCCGTCTCTACTAAAAAATACAAAAACCTAGCCGGGCGAGGTGGCGGGCGTCTGTAGTCCCAGCTACTCAGGAGGCTGAGGCAGGAGAATGGCGTGAACCCGGGAGGCAGAGCTTGCAGTGAGCTGAGATCCGGCCACTGCACTCCAGTCTGGGCGACAAAGCGAGACTCTGTCTCAACAAAAAAAAAAAAAAAAAAAAAGGAACTGAGGCAGCAGTAGACAACTTGTATGTGGGGGTTGGCAGGAAAAATGACCAAGAGTGTGAAAGCCAGAAGGGACAGAAGGGACATAAAGTCCCCATTTCTTCTTCAGACAGTTGCAGGCTCACAATTTGCTAACTGCTCTGCTGGGGTGAGCAGAAACAGGCATGGTCCCAAACTTCATCAAGCATCTACATTTGTAAAGAAAATAGATATGTAATAAATCATCCTCCAAAATTGTATAAAATGGCAGCTCAGGTAAATGGTTTGAAAGAGAGGTCCATGAGGTTTTGAGAAACTATAATGGACATGGATCTAGTTAGAGGAGGTTTCTCTGAGGACATTAGATCTGAAGGGAAGAGGGCTTTCCACGGTATGGCAACAAGTGCAAAAGCCCTGTGGTAGGAAGGGACATGGAGAAGACCAGTGACAGAGTACAGAAGCCCAAAGAAATATGGCACCAGGTGAGGCGGGAAGGGGCTGACAATGCAGTACTGTGAGCACTACTATGGGATTTTTGCATTTTAAGAGTACTGGGAAGCCAGTCGGGCACGGTGGCTCACGCCTGTAATCCCAACACTTTGGGAGGTCAAGGTAGGTGGATCACTTGAGGTCTGGAGTTCGAGACCAGACTGGCCAACATGGTGAAACCCCATCTCTACCAAAAACACAAAAATTAGCAAGGTGTTGTGGCATGTGCCTGTAATCCTAGCTACTCGGGAGGCTGAAGTAGGAGAATTGCTTGAACCCAGGAGGCAGAGGTTGCAGTGAGCTGAGATTGTGCCACTGTGTTACAGCCTCAGCAACAGAGTGAGACTCCATCTCATAAAGAAAAATGAAGTACTGAGAAGGCATTCACTGAAGTATTATTTAAGCAGTGGGGTGACATCAGATTTGTGATTTGAAAAGATTAGTCTTGCTGCTCTGTGAAAAATGAATTGGAGTTAAGCAAGAAAAGGTGGAAGTTCAGAGATGAGCGTAACAATCCAAGATATTCTATGATAGTGACTTTTACTAGCATATTGGCATGGAAGTGGAGAGAAATGGATGGATTCAAGAGATAGGAAGTAAGATCAACAGGACTTGGTAATGGATTGCACTAAGGGGATTAAGGGAAGGGAGATAACAAGGAAGATGACTCACTTTTTAGTTATGCAGCTAGATTGCTAGTAATACAAATCTCTGAGATAAAGAACCCTAGAAGAAGGTCTTTGATACCCCTTACCCCCACTGGAATATTTATTTAAAGACAGAAGAGGCAGTCAGTTGCAGATTAAAGATACTAGACAGGAATGAGGAGCAAAGTCTTTGGCCTTGGAGGAGGGCCATGGCCCATTTCCTTTGAGCTAGAGAGAGGGATGGGGTTGAGCAAGTTGCATACATTTCTGAGGGGTAACAAAGAAAAATGAATTATTTCATTTTTAGTAATAGAGGCATTCAGTTACTGGGTGACAAAGTCCCCTGAACTATCCAGATAGCTATATTACCTATTCCTGGCAATCCAAAGGTTTTTAGACCTGTCCACTACACTGTAGTAGTACTGTACTACAGTAGCCACTAGCCACATGCAACTATACAGCATCTGAAATGTGGCTGGTCCAAATTGGGATGTATTCTAAGCGTAACACACATCAGATTTTTTAAACCGCATTAAAAACAGAACAGAACATAAGTGTTTTTTAAAATATTGATACTGGGCGGCCGGGCATGGTGGCTCACACCTGTAATCCCAGCACCTTGGGAGGCCAAGGCAGGCGGATCACGAGGTCAGGAGATCGAGACCATCCTGGCTAACATGGTGAAACCCCGTCTCTACTAAAAATACAAAAAATTAGCCGGGCGTGGTGGTGGGAGCCTGTAGTCCCAGCTACTTGGGAGGCTGAGGCAGGAGAATGGCGTGAACCTGAGAGGCGGAGCTTACAGTGAGCCGAGATCGGCCACTGCACTCCAACCTGAGTGACAGAGCAAGACTCTGTCTCAAAAAAAATATATATATATATATGTATACACACACATATATATCTGATTTTTTAAACTTTGCATTTAAAACAGAAGTATTTATACACATATGTGTGTGTATATATATATATAGAGAGAGAGAGAGAGACAGAGAGAGAGATCGGGCGTCGTGACTCATGCTTGTAATCCCAGCACTTTGGGAGGTCGAGGCGGGCGGATCACTTGAGGTCAGGAGTTCAAGACCAGCCTAGATAACATGGCGAAACCCCGTCTCTACCAAAAATAACAAAAACTAGCGGGAGTGATGGCAGGCATCTGTAATCCCATATTACAATCCCAGATTGCGCCACTGCAACTCCAGCCTGGGCGACAAAGCAACACTCCATCTCAAAAACATTTTTGATTATATGTTGAAATAATACTATTTGGGATGTGTGGGTTAAATAAAATAAATGATTGTTTCTATTTTGACTTTTTTAATGAGGCTACTGGAAATTTTTTTTTCCAGTTCCAGTTCCAGTTCCAGACGGGGTTTCACCGTGTTAGGCAGGATGGTCTCGATCTCCTGACCTCGCGATCCGTCCGTCTCGCCTCCCAAAATACTGGGACTACAGGCTTGAGCCACCGCGCCCGGCCGGCTACTGGAAATTTTTAGATTACGTATATGATTCGAATTATATATCTATTGGACAGTGATGTTATAGACAGAAATTCAGCCTAGTCAGGAGACCAGCTTGAACCGGGAGGCGAAGGTTGCAGTGAGCCGAGATCGCGCCTTTATACTCCAGCCTGAGCAACAGAGTGAAACTACGTCTCAAAAAAAAAAACAAAAAAACAAAAAAAAACATTCAGGGTAGCGCTGCAAGATACATCATTCTAGTTCTAGCTGAAGGCATATCTAAGCCAGCAGGTGGCTCCCATCATCCGGTTTCACGCATCCCTAGGACGCTGTCCGGGCTGCGGGACTTGAAGCGCGGGAATCTCGGCCCCGGCACCGACTCCCCGGAAAAACTACAAGGCCCGGCGTGCACTGCGCGCCTCTGGGGGCGGGAGCCGGAAGGAACTGGCGGCATTGTGACGTCACGTCCGTCTCGCAGGCGGATTCTCCTCGCTGTCTCCGAAGCGCGTGTGGTGGCGGTGGGAGGGGAACCTCAGCGAAGCAGTGGGGAGACGGGGCAGGTGCATCCGGGCTAACTTTACCGAGTATGTTTTTGAGGGAAGAGGTTGTGAGGACCGTATCTTCTGGGACGCATTTCACGTGGGAAGGCGCTCCACGCCTGGAACTGTCAGCAGCCGGCGCGTGGAGAGCTCCTGCTGCGGCCAGGCGCGGGGCCTCTGTCCTGGCAGCCTCAGGACCTAGTGGGTCAGGCGCTCACGCTGTTCCCACTGTACGACCTCAGTGCCTTGCCTGGCGCCTCCCGTCCTGTAACTGGCCGACTTGGGGTCCCACCCGGGCTTCTCCAGCGGCCGGGAAGGGGCTCTGCTTCCGGAAGTATTAGGAAGGGAGGCAGCGTGTAGGAGGAGTCCCTTCTTCCGAGCATCGCTAAAGCCTTTTCTCCCCTGGCAGCCGATTTCCTTTTCTTTGGAAAGGACGTCAGTTTTTTAGCTTGTTGAAACTGTTCAGAGATGCGGTCTTGTGGGCAAATACATGCCTGTTTAACTGAGCTGTTATTTTCAGCTAATAAGTTCTTCAAGTTTTTCAAGATCTGGGAGGGGGTTTAGGCTCAAATTATGATGGACCCAGTGTAGCAAAACATTTATTCATTCCAACAATTGTGCATGCCCATTCAGACTCAACTACCTGAGTGAGATGATGCCGTTCTGGGCTGCTTCGTTTTAGGGAGTCACTGTTTCTTCTGGCAACTTCTACCTGCCTTGGCTATTGAGGTTTGTGAATTGCACCTCTGGTTTAGTTTCAGGTCGATGGCCAGGTGGTCTTCATAAACTATACTGCCTTGTGATGTCTCCCTAGAAATGAGAGGTGAGTCCCTTCCAAATGAGGATTCTACAATCCCCTGTGCTTGCTTTTGACAAGGCTTGCGCTGGCGCTCTGACTTTCAGGTCACCGTGTCTCACTTCCTGCAAATTTTTGTTTGAAATCACTATGGTCTGATTTACCATTATGGTTCGCTACAGTAGCAAGCCTGCACATTGCGCTGCAGGGGGATTCATAGCAATACCATCTTTCAAAAGCTACCTAAACTGGGACTCAGGAAAGCCTTTTTTGTTTTTTTGAGACGGAGTCTCCCTCTGTCACCCAGCCTGGAGTGCAGTGGCACAATCTCGGCTCATTGCGACCTCCGCCTCCCGGGTTCAAGCGATTCTCCTGCTTCAGCCTCCCAAGTAGCTGGGACTACAGGCACGCGTCATCACGCCCAGCTAATTTTTGTATTTTCAGTAGAGACAGGGTTTCACCACGTTGGCCAGGCAGGTCTCGAACTCCTGACTTCAGGTGAGCCACCGCGCCCGGCCTTCAGTTTTGTTTTACAATGCTTAGCTCTGTCTATCACCATATAAGCTCATTTTCTACTAAGAAGCTTTTTTGTATATTGAGTCCAAATGAAGTCAGGATGTATCCAGTGAGCATTGATAGGGCCAAGAGTGAGATTTCCCTGCAAAGTATCCTAGGGATCTACTTGATGGTTTTTTTCTTCATGCTTTTCTATGCCCATTACAGCCCTCCCCCTTTCACCCCCACCACCAAGTAGCTAAAGGCAAATTAACCAGGAAAATCATCAAATGTTATTTCTTGTAATAGTAATCTCAGTTGACCTTAATTATGCTCAACATTGTAGCAATTGCTTTTTATAAGTATTATTTAACCCTCACAGTAACCCTAAGTATTATTTAATCTTCACAATAATCTAAATAGGTTAGATATTATTATTATCACTTTTTTGACAGATGAAGAAACAGACACAGCAAGGTTAAGTAGTCTATTCTGCATCGCAGTTAATTTATGGGAAAGCCAAAATTAGAACCCAGAAAGGTTGACTCCAAAGCCCACACCCTTAAGTAGAGCTCTATGAGAACACATAACTGCTGAGAAACATCTCAGTGGGGATTTACTCGAGGGAGGTAGAGAACCACTCTGCTGTAGGGGAAAGAAGAGAAAAATAAAATGCCTGGAAAAAGAGGACACATAAGAACATATGCCCAGAAAGATAAACCTTATACAGTGAGGGTCTGCCCAAAGCAAGTGAGTCTGCAATCCTTTACGTGCTGTTTCCAATGAAAATTGGAGTAGTGAGGACATTTCCTTCTCGTGTCCTTTAATGTGGAGTAGAGGATGCAGACTCGTTAGAAATGTATCAGATATCTAACATTAAAAAAAAAAACTTGAAACAGTATTTTGGGGGATTGGTAGAATTTGAGGTTTCTTTGATCTCTCATTAAAAATGAAAAGGGGGCAGGGAGATAGGAGGAGAAAATGATCCGTAGAGTTCCAGATAGGGAAACCTCAGTCCGACTAGTTGGGCTCCATTTGAAAGACTTGAAGCATGGATATGAGAGGCTGTAGCATCATGCACTGGTTCTCCTTTCCATAGTTCTGATGGTTGTGGTTTTTGATCAAGGTCTCAGTACCAGCTCAGACCATGTGGACCGCGGATGAGATTGCTCTGCTGTGCTATGAGCACTATGGCATCAGGCTGCCCAAGAAGGGGAAGCCTGAGCCAAACCATGAGTGGACATTGTTGGCAGCTGTGGTGAAGATACAAACTCCAGCTGACCAGGACTGCCACACCCCTGATAAGCCGGCACAAGGTGAGACTTTTTCTCCTTAGCACGCTCCTCACTGTGGAAGATGATAAAATTATACATTGCTGTACTGTGCAGGGACAGTCGTGGGTAGGGTGTGAACTACGATGTTAGGCATGTGTGCTTGTGCTCTGCTAGGTGGCACAGTACCGCTGATGGTGGGAGACCACCGTGCTGGAACCGCAGGCCTTGGTTGAGTGGGCCTCTGAGAATCTCCTGGAGGAGTGTGCAGGCTGATTATACCTGAGCACTGGGGAACATTCCGTTTCTTAGAACTCACACGATTTGTTTTTTTCCCACAGTGACAAAGGAAGTTGTCTCAATGGGAACGGGAACAAAATGCATAGGCCAGTCCAAAATGAGGAAGAGCGGTAAGCATGGGTGGGAGTCTAAACAAAGATTTAGCTTTGGAAACCAGTGTCCGTGTTTTACTCTCCTTGTCAAAGAAGGGCCATGTCAGTTGAGGTACATGGCATTTGTTTCCTACTGACTGTCATTCCAGTTGGAAGGACAGTACTCACTTGGAGAATGGAAATCCACCATCGAAGCAGAGGCCTGTAGGAACATGCTTTCTGAATAACTGAAAGCTAGCCAGTATTTTCATGCTTAAACCAGATTCTCTGTGCTTAACTGTTCCACATTGGGTCTGGAAGGCTTTGGGGCTCTGTAGCAGATACAGGATGCAGCTTGACTGGTTTCTGAAGCCCTAGAAAGCAATCTTTTTTTTTTTTTTTTTTTTTTTTTTTTGGAGTCTCGCTCTGTCGCCCAGGCTGGCGTGCAATGGCGCGGTCTCGACTCTGCTCTGCAACCTGCCCTTCCCGGGTTTAAGCGATTCTCCCACCTCAGCCTCCCAAGTAGCTGGGATTACAGGCACCTGCCATCATGCCTGGCTAATTTTTGTATTTTTGTAGAGACAAGGTTTCACCATGCTGGCCAAGCTGGTCTTGACCTCCTGACCTCCGGTGATCCGCCCGCATTGGTCTCACAAAGTGCTAGGATTAAAGGTGTGAGCCACCGCACTTGGCAAACAGACTTGAATGACAGGAAGCTTTGGGCCTCAACAAGAATATGAAAATTCCTTAAATTCCTTAGAGATCTGGGAGTTTTTGTTTGTTTTGTTGTTTTTTGTTTTTTTTTTTTTTGTTTTTTTTTTTTGAGACGGAGTCTTGCTCTGTCGCCCAGGCTGGAGTGCAGTGGCCGGATCTCAGCTCACTGCAAGCTCCGCCTCCTGGGTTTGCACCATTCTCCTGCCTCAGCCTCCTGAGTAGCTGGGACTACAGGCGCCGGCCACCTCGCCCGGCTAGTTTTTTTGTATTCTTTAGTAGAGACGGGGTTTCACCGTGTTAGCCAGGATGATATCGATCTTCTGACCTCATGACCTGCCCGTCTCGGCCTCCCAAAGTGCTGGAATTACAGGCTTGAGCCACCGCGCCTGGCCTCTTTTTTTTTTTAAGAGACAGGGTCTCACTGGAGTACAGTGGCACCATCATTACTCACTGCAGCCTTGAACTCTTGGGCTCAAGTGATCCTCCCGCTTCAGCCTCCTGAGTAGCTGGACTACAGGTATGCACCACTATGCCCAGCTAATTTTTTTCATTTTTATTTTGTAGAGACTTGGTCTAACTGTGTTGGCGAGGCTGGTCTCAAACTCCCAGCCTCAAGCTATCCTCCTGCCTTGGCCTCCCAAAGTGCTGGAATTACAGGCATGAGCCACTGCGTGACTGGCCGAGACCTGGGATCTTTACCTCTTCTTCTAGCTAGCAGGTTCCTCTTTGAGTTGGCTTCCACCATTGTCCTTGCCTGTATATGAGGAACCTGTTCCGGGATCACTGTGGATTGGGTTAGATGGAATTGTATCACCATGAGCACAAGTATGATACCTCTGTACAAAAGATTTGGACCCTTGTTCTCCAGATAAGGTTTTTCTATAAATTAGTGTTTCTCAACTGGGGGTGATTTGCACCCCAGAGGACATTTGGCAATGTTTGGAGACATTTGTAGTTGTCACAACTGAAGGAGGAGTGCTAGTGGCATCTCATGGGTAGAGGCCAGGAATACTACTAATAAACAGTCTACAGTGTTTGGGATAGACCCCCACAACAAAGAATTTTCTGGTCCAAAATGTCTACAGTGCTGGGTTGAGAAACCCTGCAGCCAATGCATTGTGATTCGTGATTGTGGTACCTTCTGACAAAGCTCTCCAGGAGCTACATGGCCATCCTGGGTGCTGGTGGAACTGCTGTGTTCTGCCTCTAGGAACCAGAGCCTCTCCAGCTTCCTTATGTCTTCACCTGGTATCCTATCTTTGCCACAGGAGACATCCTCAATGATAGCCATGCTGAGGTCATAGCCAGAAGGAGTTTCCAAAGGTAAAGCCACATCGCCAGAGTATGGTTCAGCAGGGCTAGGGTGGGAGTCCCGGAATTTCTGGGGTTTTTTTGTTTGTTTGCTTGTTTTTGAGACGGAGTCTTGCTTCATCGCCCAGGCTGGAGTGCAGTGGCGCTGTGTTGGCTCACTGCAACCTCCGCCTCCCAGGTTCATGCCATTCTTCTGCCTCAGCCTCCCGAGTAGCTGGGACTACAGGCACCTACCACCAAGCCTGGCTAATTTTTTTTTTCCTGTATTTTTAGGATAGATGGGGTTTCATCGTGTTAGCTAGGATGGTCTCCATCTCCTGACCTTGTGATCTGCCCGCTTCAGCCTCCCAAGGTGCTGGGATTACAGGCGTGAGCCACTGTGCCCGGCCGTTTTTGTTTTTTTTGGGTTTTTTGTTTGTTTGTTTGTTTGTGAGATGGAGTCTTGCTCTGTTGCCCAGGCTGGAGTGCAGTGGCACAATCTCGGCTCACTGTAACCTGCGCCTGCTGGGTTCAAGCAATTCTCCTGCCTCAGCCTCCCAAGTAGCTGAGACTACAGGCGTGCGCCACCATGCTCAACTGATTTTTTGTATTTTTAGTAGAGATAGGGTTTCACCATGCTGGCCAGGTTGGTCTCGAACTCCTGACATCGTTATCCACACGCCTCAGCCTCCCAAAGTGCTGGGATTACAGGTGTGAGCCACGACGCCTCGCCTGGAATTTACATTTCTAATAAGCTCCTAGGTAATACAGATTATATTAGTCTATAAACTACACTTTGAGTAGCAATGTGGTCTTGACTAGTGGTGTTCTTGCTCTCTTTTTTTTTTTTTTTTTTTTTTTTTTTTGACACTGGGTCTTGCTCTGTCACCTAGGCTGGAGTGCAGTGATGTTATCTCAGCTCATTGCAGCCTTTAGAGACAGGGTGTCACTATGCTACCCAGGCTGGTCTTGGATTCCTGGGCTCAAACAACCCTCCTGCCTTGGCCTCCTAAAGTGCTGGATTTACAGTCATGAGCCGCATGCCTGACCTGGACTAGTGGTTCTCAAACTTGATTGTGCATCAGAAGAACCTGGAAGGCTTGTTAAAACCCGGATTGCTGAGCCCACCACAGAGATTCTGATTCAGCAGATCTAGGGTGGAACCTCAGCAATTGAGTTTCTTTTCCTTTTTTTTTCTTAAAAAAAAAAATGGAATCTCACTCTGTCACCCAAGTTGAAGCACAGTGGCCCAATCATAGCTCACTACAGCCTCAAACGCTGGGGTTTAAGCAGTCCTCCTGCCTCAGTCTCCCAAGTAGCTGGGGTTATAGATGTAAGCAACCGAGGCCAGTTGAAATTTGGAGGTCTAACAAATTCCCAGGTGATGCTGATGCTGCTGATGCAGGGACCACACTTTGAGAATCACTGGTCTAGAACATTCTCATAATTCCCAATCCCTACCAGTCCCACTAGTCTACAGTAATGCTGTCTTAGTATTCACCCTACCAGAGGCTTTCCCCTTAACCACAGAGATAGGTTGTTCATCCTAATAACATCTTGCAACCCTTAGGTACCTTCTCCATCAACTCCAGTTGGCAGCCACCCTGAAAGAGGATAGCATCTTTGTCCCAGGAACTCAAAAAGGACTATGGAAACTCAGACGAGACCTCATTTTCGTGTTTTTCTCCAGCCACACACCCTGTAAGTATATTCAAGCCTTTGGATTAATGTTACATGGACTACTTCCTTATGGTCGTGTTATCCATAGATAGGTTTTTCCTGGAAAGCGCTAATGGCTGAAGTAGCCACAAGTAGTGACAGTGCCTTTTTATGACAGGCCAGTGTACCTAATCATTTCTAAAGGTTTCATCTAAAGAGAAGGCAGAGGTAAGGGGTATAGAGTCTCACTCACACTATTAGTCAATTCTCAGAATCAGGATTAGGGGCATAAGGCTGAAACCTCACAAGATGTGAAGCCAACATGGGGCTTAGAAGTCCTATAGTAACTTATCCTAAAACTCATTTCATTCATTCAGTCATTGAACAAATACTTTCTGCTGTTTGTCAGGCACGATATGACATACTGAGTGTACAGAAGTGAATAAGACTAGCACATTGCTTACCTTTGTAGTCTTTTAGGGAATGTAGACAGTCATGGTTAGGGTAAATTTTGATGGGTTGTAAGGGTATGTTCGGGTGCTATGGCTGCATAAGACAGGAAGACCTAGCCTGGGATAAGGGGGGCATCATTTCTGCCTTTTGTTTTTCTTTCTTAAAAATTGAAAATAACTTCTGCCTTTTGTGGATAACAACTCAGGATGGCAGCAAAATTTTCTCACCCTAAAAGCTTTGAAATAAGGATATAAACTTAAACTTTAAAACTTTTAAGCTTTAAAACTAACACATGCAATTAGAGCAGAGATAAGAAATCACTAGGAAGAAATAGAATAGCTGTCTAGATCTGATCATAACTCCAATTGAAAATACAGATACAACTTAAGAAAGAATGAGACCAGTTACACGGTGGCTCATACCTGTAATCACAGCACTTTGGGAGGCCAAGGTGGGTGGATCACCTGAGGTCGGGAGTTCCAGACCAGCCTGACCAACATGGAGAAACCCTGTCTCTACTATATATACAAAATTAGCTGGGCGTGGTGATGCATGCCTGTAATCCCAGCTACTCGGGAGGCTGAGGCAGGAGAATCATTTGAACCCAGGAGGCAGAGGTTGCAGTGAGCCGAGATTGCACCATTGCAGTCCAGCCTGGGCGACAAAGCAAGACTCCGTCTCAAAAAAAAAAAAAAAAAAAAAAAAAAAGAAAGAAAGAAAGAGTATGAGAAAAGAGTTTAAGAGTCAAAGCCCAGAAAAATGACACACAGAGGTAGGCAGCGCTCATCCACGCTCTATTCTTAGCTGTAAGGGACCTAGTCCAAGGCCCAAAGGATGTTTCCTAATCAGCTCCTCTCAAGCTGTAATATGCACAGGAATCTCCTGGGGAACATGCAGATTCAGATTCATTAGGTCTGGAGTGGGGCCTGAGGTTCTGCATTTCCAGCCGACTCCCAAAGCATGCCAGTGGTGTGGGTCCGTAGACCACACGTTGAGTAGCTAGGACCGGGGCGATCCCAGTGACAGGTATAGCCTTACTGTGGAGAAAGATGCATCTGAGGATCACAGCCTGTTGGCCTAACCCAAACTTATCTAACCCACAGCCCTCCTGGTTACATGCGGACCCAGGACGGCTTTGAATGTGACCCAAGACAAATTCTTAAACTTTCTTAAAACGTTGTGAGGTTTTTCTTGCGATTTTTTTTTTTTTTTTTTTTTTTTTAGTTCATCAGCTATCGTTTGTGTTCGTGTATTGTGTTGTGTGTGGCCCAAGACAATTTTTATTCTTCCAGTATGGCCCAGGGAAGCCAAAATACTGGACATTTACAGAGTTTGATTATGCCCTAATCAAACTCCAGAAGTCAGTGGTCTGCAGACAGGTGCTGATCTGTGAGAACAGTCCATGAAAAAACAAGAAAGCTCAAGACTATGTAGTGAATTTTGCAAAACTAATTTCTTTCACTTTAAAGGATGTGAGAGTTATTTTTTTTTTTAAGTGATGGTGATTGAATTTTTTTTTTTTTCTCGATCTCAGTTCATTGCAACCTACACCTCCCGGGTTCAGGCGATTCTCCTGCCTTAGCCTCCCGAGTAGGTGGGATTACAGGCCTGCACCACCACATCCAGCTAATTGTTTTGTATTTTTAGTAGAAACGGGATTTCACCACGTTGGCCAGGCTGTTCTCGAACTCCTGACCTCAGGTAATTCGCCCACCTCGGCCTCCCAAAGTGCTGGGATTACAGGTGTGAGCCACCGTGCCTGGCCAGTAATTGAGATTTTTAAAGATCCTTTTTGATGGAATAAAAAGTTGGCAACCCTCTGCTCATCTTAAAAATCTTCTGGAAATTTTGCTGGTAATCTTTTAAAATGTGATGTCGTCCCAAGGTTTGTCTGCAGAGAGAAAGAACATTACCTAGAGAATGTGACTCTCTGGCTCCCTTGGCATTCACATCCTATTACTAATTAATAATTTGTTGACTGGGTTAGCTACTTCAGGCTCTTACTTATGAGTTTGATTAGCATGAGTCAGACTCTTGCACTCAGGCATTCTGTCAAGATCAGTCTCCAACACTGCAGCGTGGGAGATGGACCCTGGTGAGTTCTCCAAAGTCACTGTGACCTTGTGAGGTCTCTGGAAGTTAGCCAGCCAACCTCTCCAGATACATTCCCACTTCTGTATCTCTTGCCTGTCCCACTCTTGAGTTATAAAGATTACAGATGTATTATTTATACGCTTTAGAAAAGCAACATTCATTAGGTTAGTGTTTGAAGAAATATTTCCCTTCTCAAGGGAGAGCTGTGGTTCTTACTGACCTCTAGTTTTCTTCAGTTTCCTATAAGGACAGAGGAGATCGGAAATCTCTAAACCAGCAAGAGGGAACACTGGAAATTTTGGAAACACTGGTTTACACTAGGTGTGTAATTTACTTTAGAGTCTTTACTGTGGGGCCATGCATCATAAAATCTCCAAGATGGGGAAATTTTGAGCAATGGTTGCCAAATTTCTTTTCCTTTTTTTTGAGATGGAATCTCCCTCTGTCGCCCAGGCTGGAGTGCAGTGGCGCATTCTCGGCTCACTGCAACCTCCGCCTCCCAGGTTCAAGCAATTCTTCTGCCTCAGCCTCCTGAGTAGCTGGGACTACAGGTGCCTGCCACCATGCCCAGCTAATTTTTGTATTCTTAGTAGAGATGGTTTCACCATATTGGCCAGGCTGGTCTCGAACTCCTTACCTCGTGATCCGCCCACCTTGGCCTCCCAAAGTGTTGGGATTACAGGCATGAGCCACCACGCCCTGCCTGCCAAATTTCTTTATGAAAGAAACCACCCACTTTTGTTTTCCAAAGCATCTTAGAGAATAGCATTCCACAAAATGCACTTGGGAAACCTTGTTCATTCTAAGACAGCGGTTCTCAGTTTGGGAAGTTTAGCTCCCCAGGAGACTTTTGGCAACATCTGGAGACATTCTTTATTTTCATATTGGGACTGGTAGTGCTATTGGCATCTAGTAGGTAGAGAGAGACCAGGTATGCTGCTAAATATCCTATAACATGTAGGACATCCCCCACAGCAAAAAGTGATACAGTCCAAAGTGTCATTAGTGGCGAGGCACGCTGGCTCACGCCTGTAATCCCAGCACTTTGGGAGGCCAAGGCAGGCAGATCACTTGAGATCAGGAGTTCAAGACCAGACTGGCCAACATGGTGAAACCTCATCTCTACTAAAAATACAAAGTTTACCCAGGCATGGTGATGTGCACATGTAATCCCAGCTACTCGGGAGGCTGAGGCAGGAGAATCACTTGAACCTGGGAGGCAGAGGTTGCAGTGAGCCGAGAATGCGCCACTGCACTCCAGCCTGGGTGACAGGCCCAGACTGCATCTCAAAAAAATATCATTAGTACAGTGCTTGAGAACCCTGGTCTAAACCCGTGTTTCCAAAACTTCCTAGAGATAAAAATTATCTCAGCTCTTGGTTAGAATATTCTGTTTTGCATACCCTTCTCCAGAAATTCCAACTCACTGGCTCCAGCATAGAGTCTTCAACAAGAGCCCCAGAGAATTCTTATTAGGAAAGTTTGTGCCTGTGCTCTTAACTCATCTCAGGTCAGCTGGGAGAATAGATGAAGTCAGTAGTTCTCAAACTTGAGCTTGCATCAGAATCACCGGGAGAGCTTGTTAGACACACATGGCTGGGCTGTGCTTCCAGAGTTTCTGATTCAGCAGGTCTACTGTGGGTCCCAAGAGTTTGCATTTCTGATGAATTCCCAAGAGATCCCACTGTGGCTGGTCCAGGGACCTCACTTGAGAACCATTTGTTTAAGGGGGGGTTCATTCTCTGCAGGTGGGGATGCCTCCATCATTCCGATGCTTGAGTTTGAAGATCAGCCTTGTTGTCCTGTCATCAGAGATTGGGCCAGCAGCTCATCAGTAGAAGCCAGCAGTAACCTGGAAGCTCCTGGAAATGAAAGAAAATGTGAAGACCCTGACAGTCCTATAACCAAAAAGATCAGGCTTGAGACTGTGACTGCGGCCAGGGAGGTCACCAATGGAGCCGCTCACCATCAGAGTTTTGGCAAGCAGGAAAGTGGCCCAATCTCACCAGGCATCAACAGCTGTAATCTCACTGTAGAGGGACTGGCGGCTGTCACCAGAATAGCCCCTGGTAGTGCCAAAGTGATAGACGTTTATAGAACTGGAGCCAAATGTGTACCTGGAGAAGCTGGAGACTCCGGGAAGCCTGGTGCTGCGTTTCACCAGGTGGGGCTGCTCCGAGTGAAGCCAGGCCGTGGAGACAGAACGCGCTCCATGTCCTGCAGTGACAAGATGGCCCGATGGAATGTCCTCGGATGCCAAGGGGCACTGTTGATGCACTTCCTGGAAGAGCCTATCTACCTGTCAGCTGTGGTCATTGGGAAATGCCCATACAGCCAGGAAGCCATGCAGAGAGCACTGACTGGAAGGTGAGAGGGTAGGGAGGGCTCAATTGGAACAGTCATTCCAAGAGGCAGTCTGAGAGTAGGGCCTAAGAGCATTGCATCGCCATACCTTTTGATCCAGCAGTTCCACTTCCAGGAATTTGTCTTAAGGAAATAAAGTATTTGAACATTTAGCTTTGTATATAATTTTTGTTTGTTTTTGAGATGGAGTCTTGCTCTATCACCCAGGCTGGAGTGCAGTGGTGTGCTCTCGGCTCCTGCAGCTTCCGCCTCCTGGGTTCAAGTGATTCTCCTGCCTCAGCTTCATGAGTAGCTGGGACTACAGGCGTGTGCCACCACACCCAGCTAATTTTTGTATTTTTAGTAGAGACAGGGTTTCACCATGTTGGTCAGGCGCTCCATGACCAACCAGGTCAGACTGGTCTCAAATTCCTGACCTCAGGTGATCCACCCGCCTCAGCCTCCCAGAGTGCTAGGATTACAGGTGTGAGCCGCCGCACCCGGCTACTAATTTTTTTAAAAAAGAAAAAGTAAACAGCTGAAATGCCCAGTAATAGGAAATTAAGTGTTTTCTTTGTTGTTGTTAAAAATAATATTGATGAATGGCTGGGCATGGTGGCTCATGACTGTAATCCTGGCACTTTGGGAGGTCGAGGGGGGCGGACTGCTTGAGCCTAGAAGTTCTAGACCAGCCTAGGTAACATGGGGAAACCCCATCTCTACAAAAAATACAAAAACTAGCCAGATATGGTGGCACACACCTGTAGTCCTAGCTAATAGGGAAACTGATGCAGGAGGATCACCTGACCCTGGGAAGATTAAGCTGCGGTGAACCAATATCACTCCATTGTACTTCGGCCTGGGTGACAGACCCTGTCTCAAATAAAATAATAATAATATTGATGAATATTTAATGTGGAAACATGTTCATAGTGGTTAAAGAATAGTTTAGAAGATAAAAAGCCAATTTTGGTCTTAAAGTACATACACACATAGGAGAAATTATAAGAGGATGAGCAACAAGGTATTGTTAATAATCTCTGAGTTGTAGTATTATGGGTGGTTTTTCCTTCTTTGTTTTTACTGTATTTTCTAATTTTTCTACAGCATACATACATTGCCATTGTATATGTTTTTTAACCCTAAACATTAGTTTGGGGTTTTCAAAATGTTTTTGTAGCAACAGAGTTTCACTGGGTCTTACCCAGGCTGGAGTGCAGCGATACAATCAGAGTTTACTACAGCCTCCAGTTCCTGGGCTCAAGTGATCCTCCTGCCTCAACCTTCCAAATAGCTAAGATTATAAGCACAAGCCACCACACTTGGCTGATTTTTAAATTTTTTTTGTAGAGATGGGGTGTTGTTGGGTTACCCAGGCTGGTCTTGAACTCCTGGCTTTAAGCACTGCTCCCACTTAGCCTGCCAAAGTGTTGGGATTTTAAGTATGAGCCACTTCACCCAGCCCTAAACATTAGTTTTAATTTTTTTTAAGATAAAAGTCAAAGGATGACCACTCAAGTATGGTCTCCCTAAAGGAGGCAGCCAAACTCGATGCTCTAGTAAATGAGGGCAGGGCAAAGCCATGGCCAGGGCAAGCTTCGTAGGCCCATATCAAAAGTGAAGCCTCAAGATATGGCCCAGCAATTCCACTCCTAGGTAAAACCCAGGAGAAGTGAAAACATACATTCACACAAGTAGGCCGGGTACAGTAGCTCATGCCTATAATCCTAGCATCTTGGGAGGCCAAGTCAGGCAGATTGCTTGAGTTCAGGAGTTCAAAACCCACCTGGGCAACATGAGGAAACCCTTTCTCTACAAAAAATACAAAACTTATCGAGGCATGGTGGCATGCACTTGTAGTCCCATCTGCATGGGGAGCTGATGTGGGAGGATCACCAGAGCCACGGGAGGTTGAGGCTGCAGTGGACCATGATTGCATAACTGTAATCCATCCTAGACAATAGAGACCCTGTCTCAAATAAAAAACAATGTATATATGTATATAACAAAAACCTGTACATAAATGTTCACAGCAGCATTATTCATAATAGACAAATGTCCATTAGTGGATGAATGGATAAATCAAATGTGATATATCCATACAATGCACTATGATTCAGCCATAAAAAGGACTAAAGTACTGATACATGCTACAGCATGGATAAACTTGAAAACATAATGCTAAGTGAAAGAAATCACATATTATATAATTTTATTTATGTGAAATATCTAGAACACACAAATCCATAAAGACGTAATAGCTTAGTGGTTACCACGGGCTAGGTGCTGTGGCTCACGCCTGTAATGCCAGCACTTTGGGAGGCTGGAGTGGGAGGATTGCTTGAGCCCAGGAGTTGAAGACCAGCCTAGGCAATATGGCAAAACCCCATCTCTACAAAAAATGTAGAAATTAGTCGGACATGGTGGCGCATGCCGGTAGTCTCAGCAACTTGGGAGGCGGAGGTGGGAGGATCACTTGAGAAGTTGCAGTGAGCTGAGATCATGTGACTGCACTCCAGTCTGAGCAACAGACACCTTATCTCAAAAAGGAAAAAAAAAATTTAAGTGGTTACCAGGGAATAGAGAGTGAATGCTAATAGCTACGAGGTTTCTTTTGAGGGGATGAAAACTCCTTAAATTACATTACCATGATAGTTGTGCAGTTCTATGAATATACTAAAAACAATCGAATTATCCACTTTAAATGGGTAAATCTTGTGGTATGTGAACTATATCCCTATATATTTATTTTTTTTTAAAGGCAGCCCTAGGCACTGTACCCAGGATGTTTTCTGTTTTTCCTATTCTGGTACTTGCAGTTGCTATCTGCTTCATTCTAGACCAGCATCATGTTGGCGCCTAGTTTGTTCAAAGATACAAGAGAAAAAAATGAAGCTTTTATTTATTTTTATTTTTATTTATTTATTTATTTTTTTTTTTTTGAGACAGAGTCTCGCTGTGTCGCCCAGGCTGGAGTGCAGTGGCGCAATCTCGGCTCGCTGCAAGCTCCGCCTCCCAGGTTCAGGCCATTCTCCTGGCTCAGCCTCCTGAATAGCTGGGACTACAGGCACCCGCCACCACACCCGGCTAATTTTTTGTACTTTTAGTAGAGACGGGGTTTCACCATGTTAGCCAGGGTGGTCTCGATCTCCTGACCTCGTGATCCGCCTGCCTCGGCCTCCCAAAGTGCTGGGATTACAGGCGTGAGCCACCGCGCCCGGCCTGAAGCTTTTATATTATAGGATAATTTTGGGTTTTCGTGTGTTTGAAGAATTCCCTAGGAAGCAGGTGCCAACACATTAATGTTTCTGCTTAAACTTTTCAAGTTTCTCAAAGCCTGTATCAGGAATGGAGTTTGATGTTACATCCCTGAAGGATGTTGACTTGATTCTTTGTTATCCGTTCAGAACAAGGGAGAAGCATCTTCTTCCAGCCATGAGGTTCTTGCAATCTTGATTCTATTCTGGAATACTGTCTGCCCAAATAAATAAACAAATCCCCACACCTGCTGAGGCTCAGGGTGATGATGTGAGCCACAATCCTGGATACTGTTTTCTCTAGGCTTGCGCCTAAACTGAATGCATTTTCCCTCTACATTTAGGTGTCAGAATGTATCTGCTTTACCAAAAGGCTTTGGAGTTCAAGAACTAAAAATACTGCAGTCAGATTTACTATTTGAACAGAGCCGCTGTGCAGTACAGGCCAAAAGGGCTGACAGCCCAGGTCGACTTGTTCCTTGTGGGGCAGGTAAGAGATCCAGGTTAGACCTGCCCTGGAGTAACTGCTCCCCTGACTGCAAGTGGCTTTGGAGGGTCCACATCCTCCCAGCCTACGAGGGCAGTTCACCACTCTAGTGGCCAGTAGTGTGAGCTTTAGAGACACCCATACTAGGTCAGGTTTATGCTCTTGTGACCCCTGGCATGTTATTTACCTTCCCTTGGCCTCAGTTTGTCTTCAGATTAGAAGAACATCATTTATCAGGGTTATTGGGAAGATTCAGTGAGAAATTCTATTTAATGGATTTACTCTGTGCCCAGCAAATAAATCCTCAGTGATTGTTAACTATCATAATAATAATGAATTATGAACCACTTACGCTACTATACCCTGGAGGCCAAGCATCCGAGTAGCAGTCATTGCCAGTGACATCATATCCAGCTGTCATGGGTCTGTAGAGTCAGAGAAATACTTTTATTAAAATACTTCTGACATTCACAGGAAATGGAGCAGTTTTAACCCTAGACTCTTACCTTTTCATAGCCATCAGCTGGAGTGCAGTTCCTGAGCAGCCTTTGGATGTTACTGCCAATGGCTTTCCACAGGGAACAACAAAGAAAACAATTGGAAGTCTTCAGGCAAGGTACAGCCTATTGGGGCAGGAGATGGTGGCTGTGAACTCACACTTTACCACTATCTAATTCTAGAACATTTTTATTTCCCCAAAAAGAACAACTATACCCATTAGCAGTCACTACCTATCTATCCCTCGCTCTCCTCAACCCTAGGAAACCTCTAATTTACTTAATTTACTGCCTGTCTCCGCGGATTTGTCTATTCTGGACATTTTCTATCGTTCGAATCATATAGTATATGACCTTTTGTATCTGGCATCTTTCACTTAGCATGGTGTTTTGGAGGTACATCCGTGAGGTAGCTGTATCAGTACTTCATTACTGTTCATGACCTGAGTAATATCTCATAGTGTGGATATACCACATTTTGTTTGCCGTTCATTCATGGGTGGACTTTCAGGTTGTATCACTCTTTGGCTATTGTGAGTAGTGCTGCTATGCAGAACTATGAACATTTCATGTACCACTTTTTGCATGGCCATATGTTTTCAATTTTCTTGGGTGTACCTAGGACTAGTAGTACTGGGTCATATGGTAATTGTTATGTTTAATTTTTTGAGGAACTGCTAAACTGTTTTCCATAGCAGCTGTACCATTTTACGTTCTACCAGCAAACTATAGGAGTTCCAATTACACTGAATCCTTTACAACACTTGTTATTGTCTTTTTTATTGTAGTCATTCTAGTGGGTGTGAAATGATATCTCATTAAAGTCTTTTTGTTTTGTTTTTTTTTTGAGATAGAGTCTTGTTCTGTCTCCAAAGCTGGAGTGCAGTGGCAAAATCTCGGCTCATTGCAACCTCTGCCCCCTGGGTTCAAGCAGTTCTCCTGCCTCAGCCTCCCTAGTAGCTGGGATTACAGGCATGCACTACCACACCGGCTAATTCTTATATTTTTAGTAGAGAGGGGTTTTGCCATGTTGGCCAGGCTGGTCTCAAACTCCTGACCTCAAGTGATCCGCCCGCCTCAGCCTCCCAAAATGCTGGGATTACAGGTGTGAGCCATCTCGCCCGGCCTCATTGATTTGCATTTCCCTAATGACAAACAGTGTTTAGCATCTTTTTATGTACTTATTAGCCATCTGTGTCTCTACAGCCTCCCAAGTAGCTGGTACTACAGATGCCCGCCAGCACGCCCCGCTAATTTTTTTTGCATTTTTAGTAGAGACGGGGTTTCACTATGTTGGCCAGGCAGGTCTTGAATTCCTGACCTCGTGATCTGCCCACCTCAGCCTCCCAAAGTGCTGGGGTTACAAGCATGAGCCACCGCACCCAGCCTATAACTGGCAGTTTTCGAGTGTTCACTTATTGAGGTCTTCTTTCATAAACTTCAGTAAGTTTTATAGCTTTCTTATATAAATCTTTCACATCTTGTATTAGATGTATTCCCTGAATGTATATTAGTTATCTGTTTCTCTGATTGCCCCCAAAATAGCAGCTTAAAACAACAATATACGGCCGGGCGTGGTGGCTCACGTCTGTAATCCCAGCACTTTGGGAGGCCGAGGCGGGTGGATCACGAGGTCGGGAGTTCAAGACCATCCTGGCTAACATGGTGAAACCCTGTCTCTACTAAAATTACAAAAAATTAGCCGGGCGTGGTGGCGTGCATCTGTAGTCCCAGCTACTTGGGAAGCTGAGGCAGGAGAATGGCGTGAACCCGGGAGGTGGAGCGGAGCTTGCAGTGAGCCGAGATTGTGCCACTGCACTCCAGCCTGGGCGACAGCGCGAGACTCCATCTCAAAAAAAATAAATAAAAACAATATACATTTATTATTTCACATAGTTTATGTGGCTCTGGAATTGAGGAGAAGCTTAGCTAAGTAACTGTGGCCCAGCAGTTTATGAAATTGCGGTCCGTTATGGCAACCATGACTGCAGTCATCTGAAGACTTGACTGGGGCTCAAAGATCCAGTTCCAAAATGGTTCCCTCGCATGGCTGACAGGTCAGTGTCAGCTGTTGGCAGGAGGTTTCAGTTCCTTATAACAAGGGCCTCTCCACAAGCCTACCAGGGTATTCAGCTTCACGACCCAGTGGCTGGCTTCCCCCAGAACAGGCAATCCAGGAGAGCAAAGCAGAAGCCACAGTGTCTTTCATGACCTAGCCTCAGAAGCCACAGTCTACCTGTAATGTCTTAATGGTTATTCAGATCAGCCCTATTAAGTATGGGAGGGGATTGCAAAGGGGCATGAATACCAGGAGACAGGAATCACTGGGGACCATTCTGGAGTGTGGTTATCACAGGTGCTATTTTTAGGTAGCTTTTTATCCCATTTTCTGGTTATTGCTGTTGCAATTACGCTTTTGTTCCTCTTTGTGGCAATTACTGTTGGTTGCTAGATGAAAACACTAACCTTACCATTATCACTGGAATAATAATTCTACTCCTATAATCCCAGCACTTTGGGAGGCTGAGCTGGAGAATTGCTTGAAGCCAGGAGTTCGAGACCAGCCTGGACAACAAAATGAGACCGCCCCCATCTCTAAAAAAACAAACAATAGCAACAACAACAAAACCCCAAAAGAATAATAATTCTACCAATTTGTCTGGGAATTCTTTTGGGATTTTGGGATTTTTTTTTTTTTTTGAGACAGAGTTTCATTCTTATTGCCCAGGCTAGAGTGCAGTGGCACAACCTCTGCCTCCCAGGTTCAAGCAATTTTCCTGCCTCAGCCTCCCGAGTAGCTGGGATTATAGACACCTGCCATCAAGCCCAGTTAATTTTTTGTATTTTTAGTAGAGATGGGATTTTGCCATGTTGGGCAGGCTGGTCTTGAACTCCTGACCTCAGGTGATCCAGCCGCCTCAGCCTCCCAAAGTGCTGGGGTTACAGATATAAGCCACCACACCCAGCCTCTTTTGGGACTTTTTAAACGTAGACCATCATATACAAATACAGCTGACTTTTGAACAATGTGGGTGTTAGTGGTGCCAACCCCCCTTGCAGTCAAAAATCTGCATGTAACTTTTGGCTCTCCAAAAACATCAAGCCTGTTTTTGACCAGAAGCCTTGACATAAACAGTCAATTAACACATATTATGTATGTTATGTGTATTATATATGTATTCTTACAATAAAGCAAACTAAAGAAAATAAAATGTTATTAGAAAATCATAAGGAATAGGCCAGCCACTGTGGCTCACATCTGTAATCCCAGCACTTTGGGAGGCTGAGGCAGACAGATTACTTGATGAGGTCAGGAGTTAAAGACCAGTCTGGCCAACATGGCGAAACCTTGTCTCTACTAAAAATACAAAAATTAGCTGGGCTTGATGGTGCGTGCCTGTAATCCCAGCTACTTGGGAGGCCAAGGCAGGAGAATTGCTTGAACGTAAGAGGCAGAGGTTGCAGTGAGCCAAGATCACACCACTGCACTCCAGCCTGGGCCACAGAGTGAGACTCCATCTCAAAAAAAAAAGAGAGAGAAGCATAAGGAATAGAAAACAATTTATTCATTAAGTGGAACTGGATCATGATAAAGGTCTTTATCTTCATCATCTTCATGTTGAGTAGGCTGAGGGGGAGGAGGAGAAGAGGCGGCTTTGGTCTTGCTATCTCAGGGGTTGCAGAGGCAGAAGAAAATCTGTGTGTAAGTGGACCCACACAGTACAAGCCTGTGTTGTCCAAGGGTCAACTGTAGTGTTTCTTTCCAATCTTCTGTTCCTTTTATTTATCTTATGTTACTGTGTTGACTAGAACTGACAGTATCAAAATCATCTGCAGATGATGACTTGGTTTTTGTTTTTCACTTCTCTTTTTTTTTTGTTCTGCTGGCCAGAACCTTCTGTATAATGTTGAATAAAAGCGGTGATAGCAAGTACCCCTTGTCCTATTCCTGATTTTAAGGACATATATTTGCTATAGATTTTTTATAGTTGCCCTTTATAAATTTAAGTACTTTTCCCGAGTCCTAGTTTGCCAAAAGGTTTTTAATAATTCAAAGGATGTTGAATTCTACCAAATGCTTTCTTTGCATATATTTTTCCCATAGTTATATATATGTACGTGTGTGTGTGTGTGTGTGTGTATATATATATATATTTTTTTTTTTTTTTTTTTTTTTTGAGACAGAATCTCACTCTGTCACCCAGGTTGGAGGGCACTGGCACAGTCTCGGCTCACTGCAACCTCTGCCTCCTGGGTTCAAGTGATTCTTGTGCTTCAGCCTCCTGAGTAGCTGGGATTACAGGCATGCACCACCACTCCCAGCTAGTTTTTGTATTTTTAGTAGAGACAGGGTTTTACCATGTTAGCCAGGCTGGTCTTGAACTCCTGACCTCAGATGATCTGCTCACTCACCTCAGCCTCCTGAAGTGCTGGGATTACAGGCATGAGCCACCGTGTCTGGCCATCTCTAATTATATTATTTTTCTTTAATTTGTTCATGAGGGTTCCATTAATTTTTGCTTTGTTTTCATGCTAAAATGGCCTCATCTTCCTGAGTGCCAGCAGCCACTCCAGCTAAGGCCTTGGGAGAGCAGTGTCTGAGGGCTCAGGGTTCACCTTTAAGCAGCAGTTCCTGAAGCAGGCTGGGTTCCAGCCAGATAAGGGAGATTTTGTGCAGGCTCCATAATTCCCTATTTCACATGTACCAGTTACGATCATGGTGTCCACGCAGAGGGTGCGATCTGCTGGGGTGATGCAGGGTGTGTACCATTTATGGTCACGGTGTTCATGCTGAGGGTACCGTCTGCTGGTCTGCTGGGTGATGCAGGGTGTGTAGCAGTTGTGGTCACGGTGTCCACATTGAGGGTATGATCTGCTGGTCTGCTGGGATGATGCAGGGTGTGAACCAGTTATGGTCATGGTGTCCACGCTGAGGGTGTGATCTGCTGGTCTCCACGCTGAGTGGTGTGTGATCTGCTGGTCTGCTGGGTGATGCAGGGTGGACCCGTGCTTATGGTCATGGAATCCACATTGAGGGTATGATCTGCTGGTCTGCTGGGTGATGCAGGTGTGGACTCAAACCAGTTATGGTCATGGTGTCCACGCTGAGGGTGTGATCTGCTGGTCTGCTGGGGTGATGCAGGGCATGGTGTGTGAAAGGGAGACTGCACATTGTTGGTACACACGGCATTTCCCAGTTTCTAGATGCAGCTCGTGAATTGTGTACATGAGGGAAAAGAAGGCAACCACGAAGGCCTGAGTGGGCTCATAAAGAATCAACACTCACTTCCTTAAGTATTCCAAACCATGACCTCCACCCAAAATTGTGTTGTTTAGGAGCAAACGCTTGGTCTCTAAAGGCTGTGATGCCCTTGGCAGGAGTCCGGGGATTCTGCCTCAGGCGGCTCATCCAAGTGGATTTTATAATGACGATTCACACAGGGAACAGCACTCATGTCTCTGAAACAAAGCTTTCAATTTCTTGTAAACCCATAGGGGCCAGCTCCCTTGAAAGGAGGTAGCCAGAAGTGTCTTACAGATATCCTGGGGCAAAATTTTGTAATTGCACCTCAGGGTACCCGTTTGGGCTTGTCACTTTAATGATCCCACCGCTGATGACATTTCTTAAGGTTAGACTCATTTTTGTACCTCACTCTAATCAGATATCCAGATCTGGATTTTCTCCTCACCAAATACAAGTGAAATCTTCAAACCTAAAAACCATGTGAAGCCTGGCATCTTTGTGATAGGGGCTTGGAACATACTAAACACTTAATAAATCGTCTTTGCCTTCTTTTTCCAAACAGATCCCAAATCAGCAAAGTGGAACTGTTTAGGTCATTCCAGAAGCTGCTAAGCAGAATTGCAAGGGACAAGTGGCCAGACTCCCTCAGGTGATGCTATTGACCTATGTTTTCTCATATTTAGGAAGACATCTGTTTTGATTCTGGCTTCTGAGTAGCAAGAAGCTTTGGCAGGAGTAGTGGTTCTGCAAGCCTGTGGCACTTATTGTTGATGACAAGTTCTTTCCCCATAGCTCTGTTTGCAGATACATGCAGGATCTGAGATGCAGAGGATGGGTAGTTTGGTGGTATAGAGTTATAAAAAACTAAGGATAGAACTGGGGCTTGGCCATTCCGGACCCTCCTTTGATTCCACCTCTAGATGGAGATCACTGTGGAAATGGGAGTGTTCTAAGAGCAATATATTCTGTTACAAGTGTTACTCTCCTCTTTTCCTTTTGAACTTGCAGCTCCGTGACTTAAATTGCTCTTCAAACAAAAATGTAGAGAACTTTAAAACCACTCTTGGGAACAAGTAGGTGGGTGCAGTGATGTTCTGACAGTGACCATCTAGAGTTAGGTGAAGTCTCACAGGTGAAGGACACAGTTCCCACAAAATTGCCTTCATTTCAGACACCTGCCGCAAATTAAGGAGGGCCCCAAACCACCCATACTTCTGACCAACTGGCTGCAAATTTGAGTGTCTCCACTCCCCCTCATGTTCAGTTATTCACTAGAACATCTCTCAGAACTCAGAAAAGCACTATAGTTGCCATTAAAGTTTTATTATGAAGGCTACAGATCAGTACTAGCCAAAAGGAGAGAGATACAGTAAGGGATATAGTAAGATATGTGAGGGTCCCAAAGGCAGAGCTTCCATGTCCTCAGGACACATCACTTTCCCCAGCACATTGCTGTCCGTCACCAACCAGGAATCTCACTCAGACATCAGTGTCCAAAGTTTTTGTTAGAGTTTCATTAGCTATTATGATTGATTGAATTATTGGCCACATGATGTGATTGAACTTAATCTCCAACCCCCTCCTCTCCCAGGAGGTCAAACTGATATCACGTGTCTCAGAGCCCTAATTCTCTACGTGGCTGGTCTTTCTGGCATGACCAGTATCATCCTGAAACTATCTCGGGGGCCCACCATGAGTTACCTGTTCAAACATAAACTCACGTGTGATCAGAGAGATCTGCCATGCATGACAAAGACACTTCCAGAAACTCCAAAGTTTAGAGGCTCCCAGGAACTGGTGACAAAGACCAAGTGAATCCTTCATTATATGCCAGTGGGGAAAGTAAGGAGTAGCTAGAAGCTTCTATATGAAGAGGCTGGCCGCTTGTCATCACCATCACGCATACTGAAGTGATGCATCTGTGGTCAGTTGGCTTCTTTCTTGGGTTTCCATATATTCTATATGTCAAATCTGAATTGAGGTAAGGAGATACTTCTAAGACAGAGTTTTGCTCCTGTTAACCAGGCTGGAGTGCAGTGGTGCAACCTCACCTCACTGCAACCTCTGCCTCCCCAGGTTCAAGTGATTTTCCTGCCTCAGTCTCCAGAGTAGCTGGGATTATAGGTGCATGGCACCACGCCCAACTAATTTTTTGTATTTTTAGTAGGGATAGGGTTTCACCATGTTGACCAGGCTGGTCTTGAACTCCTGACCTCAGGTGATCCACCCACCTCAGCTTCCTAAAGTGCCAGGATTACAGACGTGAGCCACCATGCCCGGCATGTTTGTTTGTTTGTTTTTGAGACAGGGTAACTGAGACGATTAAGGGAAGTGTTGCATATGACCAAGAGCCTAGTTTGTAGTACGGTTTTGATAACTGGTAGTTACTTTTTTTTTTTTTGAGACAGTGTCTCGCTCTGTCGCCCAGGCTATGTAATACAGTGGCACAATCTTAGCTTACAGGAACCTCCGCTTCCCGTGTTCAAGTGATTCTCCTGCCTCAGCCTCCCACGTAGCTGGGACTACAGGCGCCTGCCACCATGCCCAGCTAATTTTGTATTTTTAGTAGAGACGGGGTTGATGGCCAGGCTGGTCTCAAACTCCTGACCTCAGAGGATCCTCCCGCCTCGGCCTTCCAAAGTCCAAAGTGCTGGGATTACAGGCGTGAGCCACCATGCCTCACCTGGAAAACTTTTAAACCAAAAAAGTAGACAATTATTTTTATTTTCTCTGATTCCACTAGGACCATAGAAACCTAGAATTCTGTTCATTCTTAACTGTTTTAATTCACATTGCTGTCTCATGAATTCCCTACAAAGGAGACAGAGTTGCTCTAGGAAAGTGTCAAAAGTCAAAATAAAAATGTAAAGACAAATCTCTAAATTTAATGTTTTATTTGGGATACAAGAATTGAAATTCAAAACACACACAGACTGGGTGGTCTTCAGTATGTCTGAAGAACAAAGGGAAGGTTAGAGGCTTTATTTTTCAAAAAAGAAATGTAACATAGTGTTCAAGAAAGTTCAGCGGCACCAGTAAAGTTATGAGGAGCTGCCAGGTGACGGCATTGGGTAAAACTATTGTTAAAGTCTGCAGCAAGTTGGTTCAGTAGCTGTTAGATAAAACTGGCAGGCAATTTTAGCAGCCAGGCTTGCAGAGAATGCGTTCTTGGAGCAATGTTATGCACCCTGAGTGCTTTTTACCCCTGGCTTCTTGCCTGTTTTAGTTGAGTATGACAAGAATAACGTAGTTTGTGTGATCCACTTTCACAAAAGCATACTGAACTCCTCTTCCTAAGTCTCTCATTACAAGTCTGTCCAGTTGCTTGCTCAGGTGTCTGGTGGCCCCCAGGGTGTGCTATTCAGTAAGAATCTGTGTATTTGGTGGCCTGTGTGCATTAGGGTGCAGAAGCTGGATACCTACCAAGATTACAAGGAGGCTGCGTCCTCTTACCAGGAGGCCTGGAGCACACTCCGGAAGCAGGCGTTTGGATCCTGGATCAGAAACCCACCGGATTATCACCAGTTCAAGTGAGAAGGAAATGTTTGCTCTGGTAGCAGGACCCTTCATCCTGAACTGCCTTCCTTCACACAGGACAAGTCTTAGCTTTTTTGGTGGTTAAATCAGGGAATATTCTTTCTGAGCACTGCATCTCTGTTGTGTAATACAGATGGAATCTGGAACTTAGAGCAGGTTATACTTGATTGAAGTAGCTCTCTGCTAAAATGGCATCTCACTAATGCACTCGCTATCTGACTTCCATTGTGTTTTATTGCTTCTCTAAAATATGAAATCAGGGTTTGGAACATGATGCTTTAAAAGTACTCTACAGCAGCTCTGTTTTATGGGTTCCTACATTGATTCAGCAAATATTTATTGAGCTGAAATGATGTTTGACACTCTGCAAGTTTTACAGCTTTGCCTAGCATAGCGAACATACATTTTGTACCCCCCAAAAAAACCCTAAGTGTAAAAAAAAAAAAAACAAATTTAGACTTCAGAATAGAGACTAGAAAAAAACCTGAAGGCTAGAGACTAAAGGCACCTTCACTTTGGACTACCTGTTTTCTCAAGAGCTAAAAGTGGTACTTAACCATCCAGCATCCTACATTTTATTTTATTTTATTTTATTTTATTTTATTTTATTTTTAATGTTATGTTATGTTATATTATGTTATGTTATGTTATGTTATGTTATGTTATGTTATGTTATTTTTTTTGAGATGGAGTCTGGTGCGCTGTTCCCCAGGCTGGAGTGCAGTGGCGCGATCTCGGCTCACTGCAAGCTCTGCCTCCTGGGCTCACGCCATTCTCCTGCCTCAGCCTCCCAAGTAGCTGGGACTACAGGCACCCGCCACCACGCCCGGCTAATTTTTTGTATTTTTAGTAGAGACAGGGTTTCACTGTTTTAGCCAGGTTGGTCTCGATCTCCTGACCTCGTGATCTGCCCGCCTCGGCCTCCCAAAGTGCTGGGATTACAGGCGTGAGCCACCACGCCCGGCCTCATCATCCTACATTTTATTTTAATCTCTTAAAACCCAAGTTTAAAATCTCATCTATGCCTTAAAATCACATCTCTGCAATCTTAGCAGACTCTCAGATTTCATACATTTATAAAATGTGTTTTTACAGTTTCTTTTTTATTATTTCTAACGGCAGGTGAAAGGATTTTTTATTTTACTAATGTTTCTTAACCTATGTTTGGCTGATAACTGCTTCTCATTTTTAAATACATTTTCTTTTTTGAACTTGTTATGGAAATTTTTAAATGGTCACAAATACAGACTAGCACAGCGAACTCCCCTGAACCATCACCCAAACTTAGCAAACATCAGCTTTATTGCTGCTCTTGTTTAATCTATTGCCTTGTCCCCTCCAACATTTTTTTTGACCATTTAAAGCAAATCCTAACCATCATATTTCACCTAACAGAATTAATATTTAATATGTAGTCTGCTCAGTTTTCCCATGTTGTCTCAAAAATGTATTTTGACTGTTTGTTATTTGGTTATTTGTTAAAATCTAAATAAGAGCCACATTGTGCATTTGATTGATAGGTCTTTTGTCTCTTTAAATCTGTAACAGTTACCCTTTTTTCTGTGTTGAAAGGGCGGTTTTTTGTCCTGTAGTATTTCCCACAGTTTGTATTTCACTGCTTATTTCCCCCCATTGTTGTTTAAAAGTTCCTATCTCCCCAATATTTCCTCTAAATGTGCAGTTACACATAGAGGCTTGATTAGATTCAGGTGCAGTTGATTTGACACGAGTACTTCCTCAGTGACTCTGCATCTTTGTTTTGCATGGTGTGGAAAGGAACATGACTTCTGGTGGTTCCACTTGCTGTGACTGAGCAATGGGGTCTGTGGTGTCAGTCTGGTCTTTTCCATTATAAAGTACCCCACCACCCTTCCACCTGATGGTTCTAGCAGCCATGTCAGGGGTCCCTGAGACCACCCTCATGTTTGATGATTCACAAGATAGATTCACAGAACTCAGAGAAACTGTTATCCACGTCATTCCTGTTATAGTGAAAGGATACAGATTAAAATCAGCAAACTTCTGCGCATGAGCGAAGTCCAGCAGAAGACAAGCACAAGCTTCTAGTTGTACCCTTGATATGAACCTTGCATGTTTGATTCTTTGACATGGGAGGGGGCCTTGCTCATTCGGTGGAGAGATTTTTCCTCCTAGGGCTAGCCAATTCCTGGAGAGAATAAATGACTCACCTATGACTGTTCCTTTCATATGTAAACCAGCCAATCTGGAGCCCATACCCCAACCTGTCCTTTCCAAGACGTCTCATATTCTGGGCCAATATGCCATACTCTGGGATATGCACCTGCCCTAATCACCACAGGGCCAGGTACCAGAAAGCTAGGGAAAGCCCGTAGGCCCCAGAGCCTGCTGAAATTATTCAAACTTGCCAGTCTGCTTACTCGGCCTCACCCCTTCCTTCCCATGGCAATAACAAGGCTCTTACTCCACTTGATCCCCTCATTCCCTCTGCCTCCGCACTGACCCTGGGCTTCCCAGTGTGGCTCCCTGTGACGTGCCATACCCCTTTTGGAATCTGTAAGTCTAACAAGCTTTCTTGTCAATGGCAGTCACCTGATCTATTGCCCACATCATACCTGAATAATAATAAAACCTATATTGTATATTTTTTAATCTTATTTTTTGGAGACAGGTGTCTTGCTCTGTTGCCCAGGCTAGTTTCAAATGCTTGAGCTCAAATGATCTTCCCACCTTGGCCTCCCACAGTGCTGGGATTAGAGGCATGAGCTACCATGTCAGGCCACCTAAAACCTATATTTTAAAACACTCTCCCAGTGGTGTCACACAGACAGCACTTAATCCTCCCAGCAATGATGTATGGCAGTATGTGCCAGGTGTTGCCAATTATAGAAGCTCATTGAGCCTTGGATGCTGCTAACATCGCATGATGCACAGGACAACTGCCCTGTCCCCACCCCCACTCCCCGCAAGGAATTATCTGGCTTAAAACGTCTGTCATGCTGACGTTAAGAAACCCTGCTTCTAACAATTGTGTTTTAAAGTCATTTGAAATAGTTCCTCTCTAGTTATTGCTCCAAATCTGTACATAATTTTACTTTACTTTCAGTTTTTAGGGATGCCTTAAAAATTACGTAAAATGTTTTTATGATTCCAAAGTTGAAACTAGTTTGTTTTTGTTTTTTAAAAAAATAGAGATGGGGTCTCACTGTGTTGGCCAGGTTGGTCTTTAATTCCTGGCCTCAAACGATCCTCCCATCTTGGCCTCCCAGAGTGCTAGGATTACAGGTATGAGCCACCACGCCTGGCTAGAACTAGTTTTCTTTGAAGAAAGGTACATTCAGATGTCTTTCATCCTTGTCTCCTGCCTGGTTTTTTCCTTCCCTCTAACAGTAGCCATTTTTATTAGTTGTTGGCATATCATATATGCGACAATTTGTATTTTTGCCACTGTATCTTTTGGATAGTCTTGGAAGTGGGATTGTTTGGTCAAAGATTAAATAAACATATAATTTGCTTGATTTAAATATATCTTCTAAGTTCTGTTTCTAAATACAGTGAATCCAAAGAAAGCAAAGCACAGAACACCATTACAACATGGCATTTCTATTAAAAAAGCATGAAAGAGGCCGAGTGCAGTGGCTCATGCCTATAATCCCAGCACTTTGGGAGGCCAAGGCAGGTGGATCACCTGAGGTTGGGAGTTCAAGACCAGCCTGACCAACATGGAGAAACCTCGTCTCTACTAAAAATACAAAATTAGCTGGGCATAGTGGCGCATGCTTGTAATCCCAGCTACTTGGGAGGCTGGAAAAAAAAAGCATGAAAGATAGGTAACTGTTTAGCTTGTATATACTAAAGTATCTATGAATCGACTTACAAGAAACCAATCATCAAACAGGACAAAGGATGGCCAGGGTCCAAGGAGTGGGAGGGAGACTTTTAACTTTATATCCTTTAAAAATTTTGAACCATGTTAATATATGCCTATTTTTTAAATAAATTTTTTAAATGAAATAAAAATTAATGGAAAAAGGTTTCTCTACTTTAAACTGCATTAACACCAGAAAACACATAGAGGCGATGTTGTATAGGGAAGAGGAATCTCACAAGCTGCTTTAGGCAGCTTAATTCCACAGAATTACTGTCTTGTGGAATTTGGCTCTTTCAGGGAGGTTTACACTTCGAGCCTTGCTGTTTGTTCTGTGTCCATAAGTGGGTTCTAGTGTTACAACTGTGTTGCATAATTTGTATTTTCTTAATAATTTTCAAAACTTGGCTTGATTTAAATAATTATGTGTATAGATTTCATGTAGTCATTTCTGCATAGGGTTAAATGCCTTGTTTTATGGAGTTGATCAGCGCCAAGCATGAGCTCACTGTCTGGGGAAACGAGGCTGCTATGGAGATAATGACCGACCCTGGCTGCCAGTGCCTCTGGTCGGAAGAAATGCAAGCCCTGTCTGATTTGGTAGTGTCTGTGGCTGGGGGAAAGCTGCCTCCACCTGGGCCTTGGCAAGACTTTTTGGATTTAAGACAGTGTTCTGAGCAAGCCTTAGCCAAAATTTTCCAGCTCCTAAAACCCAGGTCCCTTCCTGGCTAGTTAAATGGCTTAGGACAGTGTTATCTTTTCAACTGCCACTGCCTCCTGAGATGGTGTCTGGGAAAGCCAGAGGAGCTGTTAAAATGGATCCCACCGCAACAGAAAAGCTATTGAAACCAGGAGACAGCTTCCAACTGGAAAAATACTTAGTATATAAGTGCTTACTTTCCAGAGCTCGAGCAGCTCTTCCCATAGGCAGTTATCCTGAAGGAATGGTTAGATACAGAAACAGCCAAGGAGACAGATATTTTAGACAAAGCATATTTATTTTCCAGAAAGAGTAGTTTTTTTTAATACCCCATATTGAAGAATTGTTGACCTTCACGTCCTATAAACTTGAATCCTTTTCAACCTAAACGTGTCTGTATTGGGGCTGAGACTGACTTGCTGTAACACCATCCAGATGAATCCAAAACAAATCTTTGTACCTGTGGTCCAAAAGTGGTAGGAAAATTCTGTAAAGACTTAAGGGCTTCAGGCAAGGTGTTTGAATTCAATTTTTATTTCTTAAAACTGGGGACCCAAAATGAATCAAAAGGGACAAATATTATGAGTGGTGACTGCCTGATGTGGTGGGGGGTGGGGAGCAGGCAGTCGAGTAGAAAGAAGCCTCTGGAGGATGGAAACATCCTGTGTTTTGATTGGAGCGTTGATTATATTGGTGTAAACATTTGTCCACATTAAGTCTACACGTTAATGTTCGTGTACTTTACATAATTATACCTCAATTCTAAAATGCAAAAAAACAAACACATGGTCCTTATTACTTGGTGTAGTAGAATAAAACTGGACCGAGATACTCAAGCAGTTGTGTCCTAGTACCAGTTCTGCCACTAACTTCTATGTGGATGTGGGGCAAGTATTTAACCTCTGCTTATAACTTCTCATC